GAAATTTAGACATAACAAATATAACAATAATTATTAATTACGTAGATCCAATGCAAACGCAATATCGCTTCAACTACAAGGTATTAATTGAGGAGCTCTCTGAACACTTCCATTTGCGGAGCGTTATAAACGAATTAGTGACGTCAGAGATGCTATTACGATACAGGCAAGCAATGAACGGAAATTCCTATAGTACTCAAAGCATATAACTTTGTTACACGTGCTAATGGAATCAGATTTAATGAAATATGCCAGACCATCACTCGACTTACTTATCTGGTTGCCAACTACATGATTCTATGTGCTATGAGCATACGACGAAGATCATCAAATAAAAACAATAGGTTACGACTACAATTCTTTGTTGCGCTCGCAGCAAAATTCTATAGTCGATGGAAGCACGTAGCCGTTGCTACGGAGTCGCGTAGCAAGTGCTACGCGACTCCGTAGCAAGTGTTTACGTACAAGTTCGTAAGCAAGTGCTTACGAACCCATCTTGGCCGTAGGGCAATAATCGAATCGAAACTGCCTATATTGTAATGCTCATTCTTGCAATTTGAGCTAGCCTAAAGACAAGAAAGCCATAAATCTTAGATTTATAAAACGAATTTTGACTTTGATTAGGCAAAAAAATTAAATGGAGTTAAGCGAGGTTTTCGTATTTACAAAACGCACTTTGTCTAAGTAAGTTTGCCCAAGTTTAAACAAGAAACTACAAAGTAAACGCATGGTGGTTAACTGCCTCCGTGGCAGGTAACCGTTGCCATACTGGACTGCCACGCACAGGACGCGGGTTCGTTTCCCGAGCCGGGAGAAATATTTGAATGGCATACATTTATTTCTCTCCTGAGTTTGAGTGTAATTTATGGTTGTCAATGTGTGTCCAAAAATCGTGTATGCGTAAAAAAAGTTTAATTTAATTTCTTGCCTAAATTTACTTTAGCTCGCCATTTTTGCTTAGTAGTACCTATATATTTATAAATCTCAGCGACAGCACAGTCGCACGTGTTGTTTCTTTTAAACAAGTTTAGAGAAAAGCGACCAGTACCGCTTGCCCTTTGTATATAATCATCGTCTACTAATTATTTTATGATCTTACCGCTGTCTGTAAACAATTTATTTTTTTGCGATTTAAATCCGGAAAAATAGTTTCATTTCCAATTTATTTTAGGTTTTAATTCTATTTCAAGTTATATTTTTCGTTAAGCTGATGTCAATCACACGCAAACAATTTATTTTAAACGGAAAAACCTGGGGAGAAAACAAATTAAATTAAGGGTGAAACGACTCCGTTATTGACCTGCTTCTGTTTGAGGAAAGGGTAAAGGTAATGACAATTTACATCTTGTTTCAGGAAAATCGTTTGTTTTATTTAGGGGAAAAAATAAGGTATATTTTGAAGAAGAAGGGCTATTATGGTATGTTGTTCATGACAGTTGTGTTTAAATGTTAATCCAAACTAATATTATAAATGCGAAAGTAACTTTGTCTGTATAGATTTTAAGACTTTCGTGGTTATTCACTAAATGATTATCACTAATATCAGGTTTCTTACCACGGTATGACTTCTTTTTATTTTCCCGATATTTCGGAACGGTAGCACGCTCCATGGTGACCATGTGGGTTGACTGTCAGTAAAAAGAAGTCATACCGTGGTAAGAAACCTGATATTAGTGATAACTTTGTCTGTTACGTTTTCACGCCTAAACAGCTGATCCACATGTACTTTTGGTATAATAATAATAATAGTAACGCACACACTCAATATAGCCCCGCACTAGGTAAACCCCGCTTTCCGAGTACCATGGACACACCCAGACAACCACAAATTACACCCAAACTCACTAGGGAAATAGACGTAGGCCATACAAATATTTCTCCTGGCCCGGGAATCGAACCTGGGACTTCTGCTTGGCAGTCCGGCATGGTAACCGTTTGGCCACTGAGGCAGTTATAGAGATACATTGGTATAGAGATAGATGGAACTTTGAAGAAGGACATAAGCTGCTTTTGTGAAGTAGGGGATGAAAGTTTGTATGGAGAACATTGACTTACAAATAAATGGACGACGGGTCTAATACAAAAACCACGAAAAAAATGTCCCAAGTCAACCTATTTAAACGTAGTGACATGTAAAGGAATATGAAAAAGCTAAAACGTTGAATTTAAATTGTAATGTCATCGCAGTACTGTCTAATTTTGCTTGCTTCGCTGTCAGTCGAACAAACGAAGACTAAAGCGTGAATGACGCTCTCTATACGATTTTAACGCCCTATAAGTTCGGACACTTTTTAGCGCGGACCCGACGTCCATATAATTGTAAGTCAATGATGGAGAAACAATAATTTTTAATGTAAGGGATCTGAAAATTCATATACAAATATAAATTTTCAGATTCCTTAAGAAATGTATAGTACAGTAGGCTCTAGACTCGAATTACTTATTCTATGCAAACGAAATCGTGAGCATCTCCTAGTTTAAGATAATTAAACAGCATAGAGTTATAGATTTTCGCGGTTGTTACACAATGGAAATGAAACTATTTTTTAAGGTCTAAAAGGTCTAAAACACAAACATTTTTCGGCCCCTTTATAGGTCCCATGATCACAGGAACTGTCCAAACGTTGGTTTGTGTGGAAAAACAAATATACAAGAAGACACATTTAAAATGATTAAATATTTTTTAACAAACTATAAAAATATTATTCAATGAAATACATCTGGAATAGTTACCTTGGTAATGGCTCTGCATACATTTATTACATCGTAACGTTTATCTCCAAGTAGGATAGACAGACCCTACGGATACGACATGGGTGTTCGTATTTCGTTATCTTTCTAAAATTCGTTGGGCATTAAAATTCGTAATTATCGTAATAAATTTATCAAGGGTGTCGGTGACAGAGCCGTTCAAGGCAAACTAATTTGTTAAGCTCCTTAAGGGAGGAAAACGGATTCTGACCTCTCCCTTGACAGTGTGGAGGTTGCTTGTCGTTGGCATTTTGTTTTATTAACGGCCGCCGACCGGGAAATTTATACTACCTCGATGTATTATGGAATTTTATTATCTGAAACTATTTATCATATATAATGCCGTTTTTTACAATAGCATGATTTAATATATTCAGAGTAATCCATTTTAACAAAAATGGAAGATAATCTGCTACACCACGAGTCCTGTCAAGGGTAAATGGTGCAAAATAGCCGCG